TCAAGTAGAAAGGTAGTGAGGTGAAGGATGAAGATAAGTGAATGCAGTCAAAAGAAATATTAAGTACTAGAAGAAAGAAAAGAGGAGTGACAAAATGGTGAGATTCGGTATAGTGTCGTTAAGATGAGGATAATGTGTGTATACATCTGCACCACTGACATCGGTTCTGCGTCATATCACCTAGGGTCTCCAACCACTGGTTCCTCTTGTCCCGTGGACCCCAACCACCTAGTCTGCATCGTCCTACATGGCTTAAACCAACAGTCAGAGACTTCATACATTGGTGCCATGTTTTAGTCTGGCCACCTCGGGCCTTTTTCCAGCCTGAACCCACCTCAGCCAACATTGTGTGACGAGGCAATCGGTGACTAGGCATACGTAGTACGTGTCCCAACCATCTCAGTCGATGAAGGTTCACAACCTCGTCGACTGACTTACCTCTTCTCCCTAAAACTCTACACCTAACTTCTGCATTACTCACATGGTGACACCACGGAATACGTCCTATACTACGAAGGCAACGGTGGTCAAACACCTGAAGCCTTTTTTTATCTCCCACTTTCAATGGCCATGTTTCACAGCCATACAGTAGAACAGAGCGGACTGCTGTGCAGTACACGCGACCCTTAATAGACAAACGAATATCACGGCGGCGCCATAGGTGGCGCAAATTGGCAAAAGCCAATCGAGCCTTTTGTATCCGTGCAGAAATCTCATCGGCAACTAACCCACCAGGGTTGATCCTACTTCCCAGGTAAGTGAAGTGGTCAACACACTCAACCACTTCACTCTCTATTGTTAACCGCGGTACCGCTGAAGACCAGTCCTGGAGCAAAAATTTGCATTTGGGTGGTGAAAATCGCATCCCAAACATTCTCAAATTCCCACTCAAAGTGTTCAGAAGACTCTGCATCTTGTCAGCGTCTTCACCTAACAGGACTATGTCATCTGCATATTCTAGATCTAAGGAAAATTCACCTGTGATCGGGTCAACGTCTGTGTAATTAGGTGACGAGAGGGAAACCTCCATAAGAATATCTATGATAAAATTAAATAAGAATGGGGATAGTGGGCATCCTTGACGGACACCACTTGATGAGTATAGCTCCCTGGACAACTCACCATAGGCTCTAACATGCCCACAAGTGTTCGAGTAGAGAGCTTTCAATAAGGTGATGTACTTACTAGGCACGCCTTTCAGTGACAGACACTGCCATAAGACTTCTCGATCAACGGAGTCAAATGCCGCCTTCAGGTCGAGAAATACAGCTATTGTCGGGCGTCTGTAAGCATGCCTATGTTCCAGGACCTGGCGCAGTGTGAATATTTGGTCGATACATCCACGGCCAGGTCTAAAGCCTGCCTGGTTTTCTCGGGCTTGCTGTTCCCGAGCTCCACTCAGGCGTCGGATTTTGGATACTATAATCGTCAGGCTGATTCCTCTGTGGTTATCACAAGAGGACTTCTCGCCTTTCTTGAAGACTGGGATGATGAGTGACTTAGACCAGTCGGAGGGGATCGTATTTGATTCCCATATACTGGCTAACACTTCCGTTAGCCTGACTAAGAGAACTCTACCACCATTCTTGTATACCTCAGCAGGTAGTCCGTCTGGTCCTGCTGCCCTTCCCCGTTTCAGGCTACCTACCGCTTTCTCAACTTCTTCTAGTGTTGGGGGCCTGTCTCTATGTCCCATTCAGGGTCCGACTGGATAGCGGGCAGCGCAATGGTGGCTGGAGGCCAGTTAAACTGTTCCTCAAAGTGTTCTGCCCATCGTCCCAGTCGCCTTCCCTGCGAGTGAATCGCAGATCCGTCCTTCTCCGCTATAACCTCACTAACTGTTGTTGACCATTTCCCCCCAGTCTCCTTAATAAGTCTAAATAACTGTCTACTGTTACCGATCGCCGCTGCCTTTTCCATCTCTTTAGCCTTTGCTGCCCACCACTGTTCACGATCGTTGCGCAGACTTTTCGTCAGTTTATTTTTAAGTTGCGCTCGCTCTTCATTGTACTCAGAGCCTGCAGGGATGCATTCACGTGCATCCATTAGTTTGGAAGAAGCTGCTGATATCCACTGGCTCTTTTTAGCCATTATCTTGGAGTCGGCTACAGTCTCCAGTGCTGCTTTTACAGTAGACTGAAGATGGCACCAAGCTTCTTCTGGATGAGTGACAGTCTTTTGTTCCGATAACTGCCTAGCCAACTTCTCACTGAACACGGCTTTGGTGTTTTCGTTGTCCAGCAGAACTCGTAGTGGTTTTGTTGCCAAATTTTTTCTACGTCCATTGAGACGCAGGCATATACGTGCTCGGACCAACGCATGATCGCTGTCCAAACACGTACTCCAGAAGGAGCGGCAGTCTTCCACCGATCCTCTCCAGCGATGACTAATAGCAATGTGGTCTATCTGTGTCCATCGCTGAGTCGAGCTCGGTGGACGCCAGGTCAGACAGTGCCTTTCTTTATGTCTGAAATTTGTGCTGGCTAAAAATAGGCGGTTATCTGAGCATAGTTGTAATAGGCGATCACCGTTATCTGTACGTTCAGCTGGGATTCCGAAAGTGCCACCTAAGTGCCTTTCTGCCTCACTCAGTCTACCCACCTGTGCGTTGAGGTCACCTGCAACAACCACTACGTCCGAACGTTTGGCTTTCGAGAGGAGGTTAGACAGTTTATGGTAGAACTCGTCCTTCACTTCATCCGAACTACAGTCAGTGGGTGCGTAAGCAGAGATTACAAAGAGACAACGGCGAGTCTCACTATTCCTTTTAGTTCTCACTGTGCCGTTCAGCCTCATAGCGCAGAGGCGACTATCAACTGGGATCCAGTCTAGTAGTGAGTTTTCTGCCCTGGTGCTCTATGCCTACACCTGCAAGACCACGAGAGCTAGCTATCGAATCTCCAGAAACTCGAAGGGTGAATTTTGCGGATTCACCAGATTGGTCAGGAGAGGTCAGGTGAATAACCACACTTGGGTCCTGTATGCGTGTCTCACAAACACAGCACACATCCATGCCCGAGTTGCTAGAGTCTTTGCCAACGAAGCCTGTTGGCCAATTTGACGGAGGGTGCGGACATTGAAGGCTCCAATATGTAATTTGGAGCGTGGTTTAAGGAGACCAGGGATGCTGTTCTGTGGACTCAGATCGTTGTCGAAGGCTGCAGAGGTAGGAGAAATTGAAGATGATGCAGCATCATTAATTAAGAGACGTGAAGGAAGATTAGAAGGTAATGATGGAGGAGGAGGATAGCAGTCAGAAGAAACTTGGGTGCTGACAGAGTTGTGAGGGCGGTTGACACTTCCCGGCTGCCCACACCGTGGAAGGCTATTTCTTCTTAAGGTACCTGAAAGAGATTTGTGTGACCGCAGAGCCCATCGGACATCTGCTTGAGGCCTGTCACACCCAGCCTTTTGAGTATGATTATTTTGAACTTTTGTATTTTTGGGGCCGGATGGTCGAAAGGAAACGACAAGTGAACCAACACCGCCGGCCCGGCAGACCGTGGGGTGTGGTGGAGTGTGTTATTTTTGGGGCCGACCTTTTCTAACCCCCCCTTCCACTGAGAAGGCAGCATCAGCATGGCACTGCTGGTCATCCAAGGGAAACACCTTACTGCTGTCACACCCCATCCAGCTAGCAGCAGTACGACTTCGCCCTCAGACCCCCATCATAGTGTAGCAATTTACACTATAACGGTAACTGCTTTTCGTCTAACCACTACCCAACAGACCTTTCTGGTATGGTAGGACCTCGAGGGAACAAGCGTTCCACCAGCATAGCTCGTTGGGTCATTGTGATATGCAAGCCTGACCACCATGTCAAGGTAGCGGCTATCGGTCCAGATAGCAGTATGACTTCACTCTCGGACCCATATCATAGTGTAACGATTTGCATTATAACTGCTTTTCATCTTAATACCATCCAGCAGACCTTTCTGGCATAATAGTACCTCGTGGGAGCAAGCGTTCCTCCGCCATAGCTCGTTGGGTCATTGTGATACACAAGCCCGCCTACTACGTCAAGTAAACATTCATCGATCGGGTTGCTTAATGGGTCGAAAGGTTAATATTCGATATGCGCCTTTGTATGTCATTATTTAGGGTATATAGCCGAGTGCACAAAAGTAATACCCAACCATTTCCTTGCCTACGATTGAAAGTTAACGATGGTTAACAGTTACTTGTCTGTTCATCAAGTTACTTGTATTAAGTATATTATATTTGGGCCTCATTATTTATCTGTCAAACATACTCATTATAATCTTTGTTTTCAAGTCGCTATTCATCATGGACTGACATCAGATGAAGAGATATTGGGGATCTGGGAGCACTGGACACCTGTTTCGTCCAGTACTGGACTTCTCAGCAGTGTATACTCTTGACGGTATTGGATGGAGGTCGCGCTATGTCGTGGACTGACAGAAGTAGGAAATATGCACCACTGGATTCCAACCCAGTGGCTCAATGAGAGTGTGCTGGTCGCGGAAGGTTACTGACTCGATCCCCGGGGGGTGAGGTCATGGGTGCTGAGGAGTCCCATTCTAAGACGAAACAACTGTCTAGTGCTCCCATCTTTCCAACGTTTCTCTAACTGATGTCAGTCTATGAGAAATGCCGACCAAATTGATGTAATCTTTGTGTTTAATGGATTATTCATGCCATTGTACTGTTGTCTCATGTACTTCTCTTGGGTATTTCGTGTATAAATGTACATATTCCGAAACCTGAGTCAGTTATACATCCGTTATGTTGTAGTCCAGATTCGCTTAACAAAGTAGCTTGAATGCTCAGTGTCTTTGTTCACCGTTACAAGTGAGCGATATACACTTGCGTCAAATTCGCCATTCTGTTTACTTACGCATATTAGAGTAGCTAATACAGATTGTTTACCGTCGTAGGTTACTTAATATTTGTTGTAATTGCTGATATTTTATAGTTTGCATAGTCATTTATCTTCTTTTGAAGAATTAAGTTTTTTTTTGTCTTTCTTTATTCTTCAGGAAAAGGTTTACTGACTGTTATGATGGTCTATTTCCAATTGTATTTTGTCATAATGATTTTCAAGAGAGTAAGTTGATTATCTTTTTTGAGTTTTATATCACCATATGAATAATTGTTATTATTTGAATAATAAATAACTATGGCTGAGTGATTTATGCATTCATCTGCGCAACTGAAACCGGTTTCGAGTAATCTCGTTCTATCTTTACGCGCTGGCTTTTTTTGCCCAGTGCAATAAACGTGGAACCTCGTACACATGGGCATCAGTTGAAGTCCTCACACATCACAGTGGTATACAAACAACAGGTGAATGAAAAAAAGAGTGATATCAAAGTAGACAAAGTTGTATGAGAGAATAAACAATATGAAGATAAAGGTAAGTGTAAATATTCCACCTTTAAAAGATGTTAAGGAGTCAGTACATCTCCACTGTGACCGATTTCGAGCCATGTTATCCCAGTCACTGATTCGTTTCATCTCTGGGTCACCAACCGGACAGTCAACATCTCCCGACATAGCTCATATCAACAGATAGAGACTTCAAAGACTGGTACCACGTCATCGTCTGGGCACCTTGAACTCTCTTCCAACCTGATTTAATATCCCCCCACCAGCATCGCATATCCAGGTAGATGGTGACTCGACATGCCCAATACATGTCCAACCTATCTCGGTCGACTAAGGTTCACAACATCATCGATCGACTTGTCTGTCTTGCCTATTACGCTTCGCCTAACCTCAACAATACTCACACAGTGATTCTATCAAACGCGATCAATGTTACGAAGACATCTGTGATCGAAAGCCTTTAGTCACTTCAAGTCTTCTACTTTTGACGACCATATCTCACAGCTGTATGGCGGGACAGAAATGACTACGAGCACAGTATACTCATCCTTTGATAGATAGTCGGATATCTTGCCACTCAGCGGTACGGTTGAGGTAAGTTGTCATGTGTCCAGTGGGTCTTTCTGTGTCCGAGCTGAGATTTCGTCAGTGACCGACACGTCTGACCTGATGCTGCAACTGTTAAAGTGAATTGGTCCACATATTCCACCACTTCACTGTCTATCATTAAACTAGGAATATTGAAGCATGACATCAGTTCATGAAGTCTTTGACTGTTAGTTTGAGCCAAGTAGAAGATCCGGACTGACCGGTACGTGGTCCACGTGATAACAGAATCCAGCGTTTGTAGACTGTTGGCGATATCACTGACACAGATGAATATACATATCATCTGAATCGTTATTCTAAACTCAACAGTCTTTCATTCCTCCTCCCTCTGTTTTACTACTTTTAACCAATTTTTTTTCTTCATCTTTCATTTTGCTACTGTATTACCTGTTATTTTTGATACAGGGTGTGGCAACTTGGAATTTTGTGACGTAATATCTGGTCCAATGTTGATATTGATTGATTAACATATTCTTGATAATCATTAACGGTAGTCAACCTAGACCACAACTTAGCATAAGCATTTGATACACTATGCCAATCTTCGGTACAAATTGTAAGAAAATCTCTTCATCGATGAATTTGAATGGCTACTTTTAGTTTAGGGTTATGGCGGAAAACGGCCAGCTACTGAGTAGTTGAAAAAACTTGACTTTACAAACATTTAGTCCTACACCAAAAATGTGCTGGCGATATGTGGATGACACATTTACTCCTGTGTTGAAATCAGAACATATCGACAATTTCCTTATGCATATAAACTCAGTAGTAAACGCATTCCAATTCACTTACGATGTAGAAAATGAACAAGAAGAATTACTTATGTTGGATTGCAGAATAAAACGAAGAACAGACAGTTGCTTGGATACTACTGTCTATAGGAAACCAACACATTCCAACAGGTATCTAGACTTCAAATCATCCCATCCAATGTCAGTCAGTTAAGGCAGGATTAGTCAAATGTCTAAATGATAGAGCTAGAAAACTGACTAGTCACAACAAGAACCTAAACAAGGAATTGAAACATGTAAAAGAAGCGCGAATAGTTAATAATTATCCTCCACAGTTTAGTAAGAAATTCTTACGGACACACAAAAAACGAAAAAACAACAGTCACATGAGTTCGACTAATAACGACAACATGAGTCGAAAGGAGTTCACAGCCTAGAAGGAGGGTTCTTCGGAAACTATGTAGGATCGTCAACAGAGCTGGAATTACGGTGGCATTCAAACCTACAAACTCACTGAGAGATAAGCTTCGTCGAATAGAACCAATTAAGCAAAATAATCTAACCTAATAAATTCCATGTAATGACGGTGTGGTCAGGTTTATAGGTCAAACTAGTCGGTCGGGGTCAGTTAGAAAAGCCGAACATAGGAATTCAGCTAAATATAGATTGACAGAGGTGAATAAGATCAATAATCTAAAAAAAAAACTCGGCTATTGCTAAGCATGTATTAACGCACAACCACACAATAGGGTGGGATAAAGTCACTGTACTACAGTCCAATATAATTAGGTGGAGATTGAGAGAGATTGATTGCCGAATCTTTGTTCATCGAATCAACACTCAATCAACACGTCATAGAAATGACGCAACACTTATATCAGAGATATGGAAAATTTTGCTACTAATGAAAACAACTCATCTATAGTGACGTAACTATAAAAAGGCAGATGTCGAAAGTAGTGTGATTACATTGTGATATGATTATGAGTAATGAGTAATTTATGCTCGAAACGTCATCAAGTAAATAATACTAGATCACTCACTGTGTGTTATAAATCAAATAAACAAATCTAATATGGAATTAAATTCTACCGCAGTGCCCAAGTTTTACACCTATGTCAGCTATTGCATAGTCTTCCAGATCTGTTTCATTTTGTCGCATCTGCTGTTACGCATCATCGGTTGACAATGATATGTACGTAATTTACAAACTGGAAGTATTTTGTAAGGGAAACCACTTTGACATGTTTATAAAGTCACTATCATGTTGTAACTAGTACTATATTGAACTTCACTTGTAGCGGGGGTTAATAACACTTTGATATTGCATCATCATACTTCAGTTATTTAGAAGACCATGCCCATTTTCTTCTCAACAAGATATATTACTATGTTGTAATGATACTTGTGATTTCCCGTTGCTATACAAGGCTGAACTACTCGACCTCTGTTGTCAGATGGGCTCCTATGCGAATACATCGATACTGTCGGATATTCGTAGTGTTATATTGATCTTGGATACGTGTTTCGTCGAATTTGGTACTTGTCAGCTGTGAGTGATGTTGTTTCCACTGAAACTCGAACCCAATATCCTTCGTTTCCGAGATCGAGCGATTCGGCCGTGCACAGCAACGAAATATTACAGCTATCACTACAACAACTGATTCCCGTTCTGCAAGAGGTGGCTGTTGTGCCCCAGTGGCTTAGTGGATAACATTCTACCTTTTAAAGCAATGGATGATGGTTTCAAGTTCCAGTGGTAAAAACATCACTCAGTGGAGTGCAGGTACATCCAGCTGATGAGTCCCCAATATGACGGAACATGCATCTTGGATTCCTTTGCTAGTCATCAAGATCAATATGTGATTATGTGTGTATCATTTCATTGTTATTATTATCATTAATAATAATAATATTACTATTAGTATTATTTGTCCCTAGGGTTCCTAGTGGAACATATGGCTTCAGTAGCACATCTCCATTTCATTCTCTTCTCTGCACTCTTTTCAACCTCGCTCAATGACTGTCCGTAACCTATCATCTCTTCCTCACACCATCTCCTCAATGCCACTCCCGCCTCGGATGCTCAACTCGTCGCTTCCCATTTGACTTCCACTCGACAGCACGGCATGACCTAGCCTGTCGTGTGATGTCCCCAAACCCTCTTCTAAGTGTATGTCCAAATAATCCAATCCATCTCCACTTTCTTCTCCTACATATTTGTTGGGTGATGGGTTCTCGGTCAGTTGGTTCGTTACCAACTAGCCAACCAACCAGGTAGCCAGAGTTCCTTGTTGCCTATTCTTATTATTCTGGCCATCCATCTGATCTCCATCTTCAGTATCGAGTGAGCGTACGCGGCAACTGTTGAGGATGTATGTTTACAGTTTGTTGGAAATGCTTTTCGTAACGCGCCAAGTCTGTCAACCATCACATGTAAGCACTGACTTGACTGACATTATTGTTGGGAATGTGGATCTTGTTCACGCTTTATGCTGAGTGCAGTGGAGTGTGTAGTACAGTGCAGTAGATCTCCACACTGATTTCCGATGAATGAATGAATGAATGAAGGCCTGTGTTGCTGTCTTTCCGATTTGACTGCTTTGACATCCTCATATGTGTCTGTGAGTCGCCTGTAGTTGAAACGATGTTGCCTAGGTAGAAAAGGTAGGTAGGTGAAAGAGACTACTTCTCTTAGACTTCTCCCATTCATGGTGATTGGTGCTTGTTGTTGTTGTTGGTGGTGGTGGTGGTGGTGTGGTTGTGGTGATTCGGCATCTTCATCACCTCCATCTTCTCTACATTCACTTGAAGTCTCATCTCCCTTCTCTGCCTCGCCTCTTCTGTCAACTTGTTCGTCTCTGCCTGTAGATCTTCGAGTTTGTGTGACAAGACATTAGACATAAATCAACATCGGCGGCGAAATCCAAATCTTCTTGTGGGGTATTTTCATCGATCGAGGCAGTGTATACCCATCTTCTCGCTCCTCACAGTTTGTTGCATGATCCAGTCGAGTCGAGTCCAGTCGAGTCCAGTTGACCACAATCAGGAAGATGATTGGTGATAGTAGGCGGTAACCACCTTGTCTTACTCCTGTCTTCACTTCAGAGGTGTCACTCAGCTTTCCATTGTGCTATGAAACACTTGGGATATAGGGTATAGCTGTGTAATGAGTTTGATGAAGGTTTTGTGGGAGTAAAACCGTGGTGTTGAAGCAGCTGCCTGTGAAATTACTTGTCATTCGACGCTACCGAAGGTCTTTTCAAAGTCGATGAAGTTGATGTACAGGTACAGTGGACTGGCATTCTGTGCTATGTAGTATGATGATGCGTAGCGTAGCGTTAGAATTTTATGCGGAGATGATTTGTTTTTCGTGAAG